TTGGCAAACGCGGTTAGGATGTACAGATAAAACACACACCCCTCGCAGAAGCGCGCGTTGCTGACATGCAAACCACGAAGCCACGGCATGCGCTGAAAGCGCCGCTTTTGCGCATGATGCACGCTCGACTCGATGTGAGTTCATACGTTCACGCTATCGGTCACTGCGCTCAGCGCGCGAGTCAGCGGCATTCCGTGCTTCACAGGCCAATCCACGCTGCGCAGGCCAAGGCCAAGGCCCGAGCAGCAGAATTGGGAAACAGGCCAAGGCGAAGCCAGTACAACGCCCTCCGTTTAGGCGAGGCCGATTGGCATTCTCGAATTGGAGATGGTCGCAGCTGGTCTCAGAGTGACTGGCAATGTGGGTGGAGTTGGTCTGATGACCGCAGCCGCTCGTTGCGTTATGATCGCCATGACAGGAGCTGGTGTGAACTCCTGAAGCACAGATGTCCGCATCCTTGTTCGTCTTGACTTCAACACTGCGTGTTTTCTTCTTCTGCAGTCGGCGGACGATCTCGAAAATCATTGCCTAACTTGTATTCGTGTTACAGCAACATATTTCCTTGGAACTGTCAAGACAAATTCGCCCTCACAACGTTCCAGATTTTATTGCAAAGCCACTGCGCGGCAAGCCAAGACGCGCCCAGAAGCACCGCAAGCGCACAACAAGACGCACGAGTCAGCAAAACAACCCGCGCACCAGTAAGCAAAACACGCACAGGAAGCCAAGACTGATGAATAAGCTACATGACCGTGGTGCAAGCGAACACCTGCGAAGAAGCAATCCCACCACACAGCCGGCGCAGATACTACAATCCAGGATTCAAAGCAAAATACGGGATAAGAGGCTCAGTACTTGCGGGGCACACCGCAAGGCGAACGGTCCGGGCTAGGGTCTAAATTTAACTTGGGGGACTAAACTTGGTTAATCCCCCATATTGAGCTCTGGGGCCACTTGCACAACGTCCTGGAACCCCTGCCCGGGCCTTCTTCACCCGACGGGGTGAAGTGGGTGTGGAGCTGCGGGTGGGAACAGGCTCCTTGACCGCCTGCGTGTTTCGATTTCGGATAATCCAGGCAGTCCTGTGCTGATTTTGGGTTACACGCCCGGACCAACATTTTAGCTTCACAGCTAGTCCGGCTTCTATGAAAGCGAAGCCCTGCACCGTATTCTTATGTCTTCAGCCGTTTTGGCGCTTTCGGCTTCAACGTAGAGGAATGAATCAGAAACAGTGTAAGGTCTGGTGGGTTCGGAGTGCAGCTGTGCGTTTCGAATTTTGGGAGCAAAGGTAGACTGCGGAAGGCTGCATTGCTCTGATGGACAGACCTCTAATGAAGGTATTAAACATTTTACCTCAGCCTTTTGAAACTCCCTCGTATCTTCCTCTCGCCCCACCATCCGTCACGCACACCCAACACAGTTCAGCCTGCGCCACACATGTCTCCGACTGGCCGCCGTCCTCCGTTCAGGCTTTTGGACTAGCGTGGGTTAATGACTTCTAGCGTCCCGGGCTTTATTTGGTTCAGAGTTTTGGGCGGCTTTGGCGGGGGTAGTATTGAGGGATCCAGCTGAGTATCGATTCTAGTGCAGCCCTTGATGCGTGCGGCATCTTCGGCTCAATGGGTTTGGCGCGGTAGGTGCAGTAGGCCCATGCAACTACTCTACTGTGAGGAATGCTGCTGGTAACACTGACTGTCAAACAGCTAGGTAGGAAGACCAGAAGGGCGAGAAAGCGTGGATTACATTGAGTCCCGAGAAACATGAAAACTCTAGCGCTGCACCTGGCCCTAAGCGAGCTCGTTATACGATCTCAACCTCTACACCCGCAAGGGCTTAAACAACAACAAAATGAGCCAGCGTCAAGGAGTATTTTCAACTCTCTTTGCAAAGGCTGCAAAAGTCCAAGGTTCTCAACTCTCTATGGAAAGGAAAACCAACACCGGGCCTTTTCTTGGGCTACAGGGCTTGACCTGCCACTCTTGGCATTCGCGACTTGAAGAAGCCGCATGCCCTGAGAGGGATAGATTTGTAAAATTCGTTGCAAAGATTTGTAGACTTTTTTTTGTGCAAGCTGTGGTTGGGAGCCGTGTCCTAGGATCGATGCATCTATGAGCTTTCATCCCTCCTTTATACCTTCATTGCTTCAAGGTTTGGGGAAGTGGATTGATCTTGAGCCTCGCACGCCTAAGCTTCAACGACACACCCAGTTCGAGCTTGTGGTGCTTTGCGTTTTCGGGGCATCAGGATGGCTTGGACGTACACTGTGCGGAGTGATGGATTATTGTCTGGTTTTGGGCTCTGAAGATTTACAGGCTCCGGGCGAATAAGCACGGACAGGTTGTTTGGATTCTTGGATTTGCAATCGATTGGCAATTTGACGGAAGGCGAGAGTGAGGCGGTCCTGAGTTCCTTTTCGCGCAATATCGAAAGCCCAGGAGGGGGCGAATTGAACTCAACCATCCTTTTCAAGTGCTATGCACCGATGACACGGAAGCACACCCAACAAAAACCCAACATACGCAGTCCCAAACTCTCAACTCTCAAGCTCCACATTGTAGCTCATGAACCTTCAAGCTTCAATCCTGTGCGCATCTGTACGTGTTGCTGCCTTACTACAAAAACCATGACCGCTCTGAGCCAAGTCAAGAAGCGAAGCCCAGGACGGTCCCCGAAGCAATGGTGCCCTCTCCGAGAAAGCAGAACAAACGCTCGGGGAGCGTGGAGCGTGGAAGCCCCGGAAGCAGACCATGCGACGGCTACCAAAAAAGAACGTCCTCTCTCACAAAAACGCCGAAAACACCGAGAGGTCTGTCCCTGATTCTGGAGGCTCCCGGCTCGGCCGGTGGCAAAGCTGCGTGCTTGGGATGCTCTCGAGGCCGGGGGCACCGGTGGCGCAGGGCCTCACTTCTGTGCATTGCGCTCACTGCGCGGAGTGCTTCTCTCAAATGTTGACCCTAGCCCTCAACTCCTCAACATAGCAGGCGTCGAAGCTTGAGATGGAAAGGCCCGGACGCCGTAGGACGTGATTGCCGTCCTCTTCCACAAGGGACCTGAGCAGCAAGAGGGATGTTTTGGCCTCAGGCCATTTGCCACTTATAGGCAGCGTAGGTGGCGTTGTGGAGCTCATTGTATTGTAGATTTAGCCTTTGGGTATTGGCGTTCTTCATTCGTGTATTGTTCCGGCACACGGCTAACCTAGCAGGCAAAAACTGAGGGAAGGTTCAGGCTGGCAACAGGGCAGGCAAAACTCAACACTGCAGAGGGTGAGCGAATGGACGGCAGTGACTCTGGTGGCATGGATGCGCAGCATCAACCGTTTTTGTTCTCCAAAGCCCCTACATGGCTGCCATGACAGCATTCACTTCGTAGCGCACACATCCTTCGCCTTTGCTTAATGGTTGAGGTGAATGGGGCGCATCAATGTCACTCAGACCTTTTTTGGAGCTTCTTCCTCCAACAAGAGCAGCCACGGGCACTCCTCTGCCTCTTGTTGTCTTCTGAGGCACAGTTGGTCTTGTGCATTGAAAAGTGCCTGTCGGCTCATGGCAGACGGTTCAGCTGGTGATCAGATTCAACATATGCCAAGTTCTTGACAGAGGGGTGAGACTGAGCACACGCAGACCGCTGGCACTACGGCCCATGTTGGCTTATATTGGCCCTCCCGACTTCCGAAGCACGCTCAGTACACACAATGTGCGCAATACATGTGGGAGAGGTGCAATTGGGGGCATTGCAATTTTCCCAAAGCCCTCTCTCCAAGACCCTTCATGTTGCCTCCCTCGCTCTGATCTGGGACACAGGCTTCCAGCCCTGGGGAAAAACAAACATACAGCTTACCAGTGATTTTGACAAACGTAGTTAGGGCAGAGGCTTCATGGATTCGCATCGGTGGACGAGAATCCAAGAAAGCATTCCTAGATCCTAAGCCCTGAGCTCTTAATTCTAAACCACGAGGTGCGGACACGTCGTCACGCCCCTCAAATGCCTGGTGGTGGTTCGAGGCTTAAAGGTCTGCAGCTTGTGTTTAGGCTGTTTCGAGGGTTTGTTTAGGAGTTGAGATAGGATCTTGTGGCTTTGTCGGGTATTGCAGGGTGAAGAGGTTGGATCAAACAGTTCTGGCTTTCTCGAGCCCTCGGAATCCTGCAGTCGTGGCACAAAAATGTCAAGCTGGAGTAGGTGTTAAAAGGAAACTCGCTTCACACGAAAAGCACCGAGCCGCTTCCAAACCGTGCAGCGGCTTAATCGGGGATCTACGTCGTGTATGCTTAAAGCTTTGCATTTCGACATGTCGGCTCTGACCTTAAAACCCTCAACGCCCTCCAACCCAAAGCATTCCCAAATGCCCAAATGCCAAAACATGCAACTCTTTTCAATCGAGTCTACGGCCTCTACGTGTGGGGTCATCACAGGTTCTGAGAAAGGCTGGGGAAGGGTCAGGATCCCAAGCCACAAAAAACCGGTGCCACCCCGAACGGCCAACTGGACTCCTGTGGTGCACCGTTTGTTTGCAGTGGTTTGAGATTTTGGGCATGTGGAGCTCAGAGTTTCCAGGAATGTAGGGTTCAGGGCTGAGGGCTTCAGGAACCGCACGCGAATCCTTTTTAGCAGACGTGGACGCTGCTATGCCTCGCAAATGAAGATCACGCAGCCGTGGTTCCATACTTACTGCTGGAAAGAAGCCCATAAGAATGACACAGCTTCTCAGATAGGCGACAACAAAACAAGCCGAACATGCGAAAGCACCAAGAACACTTAACCTTCACGACTGTGTCGCTTAACTCAACCTACGGTTAAAATTTCGTCAAATTCGCCGCCGCAGCCAAAACTCGCACGCAGCGAGCTGTTCTGCCTCGTGGGGTGCGGTCCGTGGTGCCTCGGCGATTTCTTCTAGGGTTTGCGACGTTGGGATGCAAGTTTAAAAGAAGGTACCGCGAGAACGACTTCCAGCAACTTTGCGCCGAATCCCAAAAAAATGTTTTGCTTCTCGCCCATTTTGAAGTCTAAGGGACATCCTCTGGTGGCGCTTGGGTTTCCGGAGTGCGGAGGGTGCCCAGTGTGACGACATGGCACATGGTGCCACCGATGCTTTTTCCAGTGGTGCCTTCTTGGCGGAATGTACCCAAACAGCTCTGAAACCAAGAAACTTTTGAGGTTACTACAACCTTCTTGAAAGGGCAAAAGGGCAAGCCTTTTTCGAAAAACGCCCAAGAGGCCACAATAGGAGCTCAGCCCTTCGATGGCAAGTTCTTCACTGGAGAAAAGGACGGCATCGTCACGCGAGGGCTGCTCGATTTCGGGATTGAGCTGGTGCAGGTGTTGCAGTGGCGTGATGGCACCGTACCGCTGGCTGACGAGAACCTTCAGAATCTGCATCATTCCGGCACCTGAGTGTCTTCGCAAACAAGATAAAGGAGCGAAACAGGTGCAAGAAGGACCAAAGGCTTGACCAGGCACATTCCAGGGCCATCCCACTGCCCGTGAAGCCACTCGTGAGGGACAGCGGTGCCTCCACGTCCGCGTAGCCTCGGAGGGCCCTCCGCAAGACCTGTGCCTCGACCGCATCCTGAAGGGCTTTTGCTCTCTTTCTCCCCCTAACTGTAGCTCTTCGCTCTCGCTCTCGCTCTGCTTCTTCTCTCTCTCTCTCTCTCTCTCTCTCTCTCTCTCCCTGTCTCTCTCTATGGTGGTGCTGGTCGTCGTAGAAGTAGCAGTAGTGGTGATAGTACCAGTAGTAGTAGTAGTAGTAGTAGTAGTAGTAGTAGTAGTAGTAGTAGTAGTAGTAGTAGTAGTAGTAGTAGCAGCAGGAGGAGGAGGAGGAGCTTTAGGTCGGAGGAGGCGAGCACGCAGGGCATGTTTGCAACTGTAGTTCGCGGCACATCCTGGGTGCGAAGTTTTGGAATGGTGCAGCGGCATACAGGATGCACGGCCCATGATGGCCGTGGGCTGAGCAAATAGCGGATCCCGAGCGCGCGATGCTCGGGCCAGCACCCGAAGCGCGTGGTGCTTGGCAAGGCGGACAGCTAAATGCAGTTGCTGTGTAAGTGTACGAAGGTACTCGTACAAAGTAGCCGTGCTGACAGGACACTTTTGCATGTGGACTCATGCCCTTGCCGCTTTGTTGCCGGCGTGCTTCGCCCAGCTGCACCTAGCTACCGCCGCCCACTCCACGTGGGTCCTCGGCCCAATCCTTGCCGGCCAACTGCTCGGCTGAGGAATGTTGCTCGGTGCATGTGAGGCATGTGCAGTTTGGATTGCTGCTGCCGGTAGCGTTGCATGCTTGTGATGTAGTTCAAAAAGCTTTGGCTCGTCAAGTGTGCCGCGGCTGTATAGTTGCTTCTGGCAGCTTTTGTTTGCGGTCGCGCTGCACACATGCCCGTAGGCCGCATGCGATTGGACTCGATTGGACAGTTCCAAGGCCCAGGTTTGCCTGCCTTGACAAACCATAGCAGTAATAGGAACACCATGAGCCACGAGAGCCCCCCGCGCCCCTCCCTACCTGTCCACTTTACAACCACAGAAGGATCTTCAAGATTTGTTTATCAGTAGCCACCTTGCAGAACATGTCTCATGTGCTAGTTGGCCAGCCCCGCTCAGCCCGCTGGGCCAGGGACTCGTAGAGCTTTCGGTCATGAGTTATGCGGATTTACGACTGCAGGAAGCACTAAAAGCCCGAAACTTCGTTGTTCTTTTCGGAAGAATCGGTTGCAACATGTCGCAACACTTCCTCTCCCGGACTTGCCATATAGCCTGCAAGAACACACTAGACTCAGAACACCAACCCCCCTCCCCCACACAAAACGAAAAACAAAACCTCAACATCGTGCCCAAACTTTATTCCATCGGTCCACAAACTTTGAACCAGCATAAAACACAGCAGCAATGTGCACCCTGCCCCTGACACTGCACAGGGTGGGTATGTTCGAAGTGGTAGTTTGGCAAGGGTTTGCAAACATGCGCCATGCCTAGTCACAGGAGACTTCTATGTCTGTCTCAGAATATCGGGAAGTATTCGTGCATTGATGCTACGAATTCCTATTCGGAAACTGTTTTTGATCCTTTGGTGAGGTCCTGGAGGGGCAGCCCGTGGCTGAAGCACTCCACTGCATCTACGGACGACGGGGCAATGGCCGCTATCCGGGTGGCTTGCAGGACAAGGTCACCTTGGGTGCAAAACGTGTTCTCGCTCCCTAGAACTCGTATCCTGTTGTTGGAAACCCAGCAATAAAAAGCAAAATGTCGAGCACTACTGACACTAATATCTGCAGATCCCGTCGCCCTCCTGTATGCCATTTGGTGCCGTCAATGAAGCGCCGCGGCCCGTGTGGTTGGAATAAGTGGCGGCGATAATCCCAACCGGGGGACCTCTGTCTTTGCCGTTGTCCTGGACTTCAACTTGCAGGCTTTTGAAGGGGGAGGGGGTGGGGCAGGAATGCAAGTATCGAAAGCTCAAAAACAATGGCTTAGCTCGAGTGGATTTGGACTTCGACTGTCTTCGTCGCGCTCTAAAACCAGGTTTGCCACGCCCTCGCTCTTCACGAACCCTTCGGCTGACTGGTCGAAGGACAAACCTTGGTTGTTCATAGCCTGTTCATAGTTGTTCAATCTTTGTGCAGAGGCCGCCATTTTATCTAGGATCCAGAATCAAAAGTAATGCCAATTCAGGATTCGAGAGACAGCGCCCTTGCTGAGAGAGCTGCCCCTTTGCACTTAACAGAATCCAGGTGGTGCCGGTGATCATGAAATATGCCCCTCCAACCTTTCGGGTTCTGTTTTTGAAGGGTGGGCTGTCAGGATTCCTTTGTTGCATCTGGGTGGAGTGTATCTTAGAAAAAACACACAGAAAAAGCTGAAAGCAAACACCCAAGAAGGACCCAGCAACGAGAGCTGCCGTATTGGGTTTGTAGTGCTCAGTTTGCAACCTCGCAGGGACTTGAAGAGGGGACGCCCCCCCCCCCCCCCCCCCCCCTCTTTTAAAGGGCACCTAAGATGTATATAATGGGAGTTAAAGTGTCACAGTCTAGGGATTAGGAATTGGTGGTTTGCGTGAAGGAACTTTCGACCCTTCAGAAATGAGTCTCCACATGCACATCTATTTCTGTCAGGCTCTGAGATATCAAAGTCACGAAGCAGCTGTCAACCGAACAACTTCAGATTTTGATGCTTGGCAAAGAGGATTTCAGGGATGGCTGTGATGTGTGTGCTTTGCTCAGACTTTGTCTCGCTTCATCACCAAAGCAAAAGCGGGTGGTGAGGTTCCAATGCCAGCAGCTAGAGCAGGAACATGTTTCCATCATGCAAAGTACAAGGTCTACCCTCTCAAGCACTTTTGTTCTTTTTGGTTGGTTTACACTTTGCAACGGTACCATGAAACAGGTCATCCAGGACGGAAACCCATGATACAGGGCGAGCACGCCCTCTTCATGGCACGGCAAATCGATTCTGTTCAAAACGCTTGAACTGGTGACGCACTCGTGGTCACAGACATCTACAGTAACAACCAGTTGCGAGAGTCTGGGTACGGTACGCAGCTCTGATAATCGGGCTGCAAGTGACCAGATCATAGAGTTGCTGGGGCACTCGTGCGTCGTTGCGTAGGGATACCGCGTATCAAGGCCAGATATGTGCGCTACTGCCAAACGGATCCAAAGGTTATTGGCCACGCAGATCTGATAGCAAGGCTTGCCACAATATCCCCTCCGTTGGAGCAAAAAGACGCTTCAGGTTCAAGATTGAGGCTTGATGAGTCTTCAGATTGCTTTTCTTGAGATTTTGTTCGCCACATCAGATGTTTCAGGTGCCGCCTCAGGCTCATGTCGGCGTTCCCCATAGCTGCCAGTGCCGAGGCACCCTGGGCATCCACTGTGAAACTGGGGCCTCGCAGGAGGAGTTCAGACTCTGAATCAGAGACAAACCTGAACAGTTCTGAAGTTTTCTGAACAGTTCTGAAGAGTTGAAGGCGTCTTGACAAAACAACCCGTCGCTTGGGGTCTCTAGAAGGCACAAGGTTGCTGGAATCAGGTCTTCGAAGGCTTAAGGTTTCCAAGCGCTGGCTTGTGCCCATCCCCAGAAGTTTCTTAACGTGTTCCAGTTGGGTCTGCCATATGGTGTTGAGCACTTAGTCGAAGGGGGAGTTTGAGTCCGAGCAAAGGGGAAGAGTGAGCAGAAGTTGCTCTCCAAAGCCGTGCAAAGCCTTTAAAAAATCACCCCCTTCCATTCCTTGCATTTGCATGTTGGGGTCAGGGCGAAAAAAGGGGGCTTAAGCGGGACTGAACACCACCGAGTCATCTCCCGCCCTTTCTGCCTTGCAAGCCCAGGCAGAAGGAGATTCGGTTCGAGGTGATACTGCTCGCTCCCCCAGTGCCTGCTTGGATGTCAGAGTCTTTAAGCCGCGTAGCGCAGCATGTACAAGCTCTCCACTCCACTGTCTGCATGCTGTATCCCTAGCTGGACACGCCCCTAAGAAGCCATGGCGAACCCGAAGTGAACCGCAAGCCCCTCAGGAATCCTGGAATCGTCCAGCTCAAAGTCGGAGCCTCCCCGAGAAGCCGAATAATCAAAAAGCACGAGCCTGTTCTTGGTTTTAGGTTCTGGGCTTCAGTGAGCTTAACGAGTATCGTTATTGCTGGAAAAATTGGGAGGTTCAAGTTAGGTTCCAAGCCAGTGGCCCAAGGCGCCTGAGCTACAAGCGGTAGCAGGCATGAAGTTCATCTCAGTCGCCGCTGCGCCCACGTAGACGCCCAAGAGGGACCTGGGACACTCGAAGGGTTGGGGCGCGTGAAGGTTGAGGAGGCAAGGCGGGATGGCTGACTCAGGATGTCGGATTTTCCTGAGTTCAAGGACTAAGACTTTAAACGAAGCCCTTCGATTGTTGGATCCCAGCTCCACCTCATGAGGTTCTTCTTGTTGTAGCCACTGAAGTACCTTTGAAGTGCAGCTGGTGGTGTTGAAGCCTAAGCCCCAAACCTTCAACAACGAAAAGTTCCCTGATCCGTAAGCCAGGACAGGCCATCAACAGAAACCTCCAAATCACACAGCTGAAGCAGCACCAAAGCCAGCAAGACCTTCTTTAAACCCACTTGTAGCCGCTGAAATGCAGAGCTTCATAGGAGGTCTCAAGGATGTGCCTCTGAGCGGGGTCCATCCCGCGAGACTCCACGGGCGAAATGCCGAAGAATTTGTTATCAAACAGCTCGATTCCATCCTTACAAGTGTCTGGGGGGGGGGGTTTGGAGCGTGGCGGATTTAAGTTCCGAGCAAGTTTGGATGGAGGCAAGGAAATCAGCTTTGGCTTTGTTTGGGCTAGGGGTAGCTCACGGTTTCTTCAGTTTTTCCATCAGGGGTTTACGAAAATAAGAGGCGCCTAGAATAGCCTCCCAAATAGTAGGATTCCCTGATAAGTAAGGACCCCAATTAAGTGAAACCCCCATCAGGCCGCAGACATTCAACTTGAGCACTCCCCTCCTTTCTGGGCGCATGGAATCTTGACACAAAGCGGTGGCCTACCGAAACCCGCAACCTAACTGTTCCGTTGACTCTGTCTGCTGGAGCGTTGCTCAGATCAAACGCGCAATAACCCCGAAGCGAAAGCAAAACACTCATCCCAAGCATCAATGAACGATCCATGCCGGCAATTTGTCTTAGCCCACTTCCAGCTTTCTGGATCTGTGTCAAAGAAGTCCAGGTGATCCCATCTGCAATACGGCACCTCTTCAAACAGCGTTGGCGTGAGACAAAGCTACTAGTTCTATTGTTTATCCATCCCCTCCGTGTTTTCCGTGACTTTCTGGGTTCTGATCATGTTGTTCCTTGAGGTTCACGGCTGCAATCTCGATTTCCTTTGCGTGGGCCTCCCACCTTCTCTTCCACCCGAGACAAGGACCCAAGCACTGTCTGATGCTGTGATGCTCGTGTTTATTGGCATGTACTTTAATCTCGGTTTTTACAGGGGGATGTTTACAACACGAACGACACCAATGGGAAGTGTGCTCCCCCCCCCCCCCTCCCCCTCCCCCTGAAGGAAACCTTGGTTTAGGTCCGGTCTTAGGGGATCATGGTCCTTGTTTGGATGTCCAGCTTGGGGATTTGGACTTGCACCTTGGGAAGGATATTTGAGGATGTGTCATGATGTCAGGGGTTAGGCCTATGGATTGCCCCATCACTGGGGGGGTGGGGCGGGGGCTGCTGGACCGGGCTTCAACTGCCTCTGGTCCTGGCCAACCATCCACGTGCAGCCTAGGGGCGGGGGTGCCCATGTCAGGTAAAAAAAGGGACCGTGTGGTTTTGGGGAGGATCTGGAGGGGCTGACCTCGGCGAGCGTTATGTAGGGGTTATATCTGAAGTTGAAGCCTTAAGCTTTGGCATCTTGGTCAGGGCAACACAACGGTGCCTCTTCAATGAGGTCACAGCCAGCTTGCATACCGCACCAGAAGCCGGCGTCGCTGTAGGAGGATGGAAACTTGCAAGAAGTGCCGCGGACGACCACCTGTTCTCATGGGCTTGGACTCCCTGAACCTCCGAACCTGCAGTGTCGTGTCATGTTATGCAATGTAACCTATGGTGAAAGCGAGTTGTCTGCTTCCAAACTTTTTGGTTCTTGACCTAGGAAGTCCCACCCAGCCACGGCCAGCTTGCAAATGTCATCTCTCGCCAAGCGTCCACGTACTCAGAAAGGCTGGCGATCAAACCCTTTTGAAGTGGGGCACGTGTCATCATGACTGTGCAAGGCTCTGGATTTTGACAGCCCTTGGGCATTCTCTTGATTCGTGCGCAAGAAGCCAAACCCCCCAAAACTTCTCTTCCAAAGATCTACGTCCTAACCCCAACTGAAATGAGGTGAGAGTACCAAGTACACAAACTCTGAGCACTAACTGCCCCTGCAATACCCATTCATACCCACAGCCCCAAACCGGACCAAACCCAACAGTCCTGACCCGCCCTCGAACCCAAAACAGCCTGCCTGAGGGCCAACCTGGTAAACTTGGTGCGCCATGCGTTGCCACTGTGGGGGCAGGTCTAGGGCGTCATCTTGGCTCACGCTCTGCTGCCTGGGGCATGCGGAAGGTTGACGGAACTTGATCTTCGAGAAGTGAAGCCTTTGCGGGATGTAAGATCTTGGAGCTTGAAGATGCGGGCTAAGATTCGAGTTTCGGATCAGAGTTCTTTTTGCTCTTCTCTCATGTGGAAAGGAGAGTCCGGCCTTTGGCCAGCCCTTGTCTCATAAGCTACATGGCCCAAAAGGACCATGGCCGGAAAAGGAACTTCTTTCGAGAAGGGGCATGGCTGATATCAATCGTGAGAGGAGACAGAGGTTTCTAGGGATAGGTCTTGGAGGGTTTAGGGCTCTGGAGTCATATCTACCAAAGCCAACCCTGGAAGTCACTCTAAACACCCTTCTAGAACTCTAAGCCCAATCAAACGTCGCACATCCCATCAAGCCTTCTCGCGAGCTCCCATCGCTCCTTGGCCCAATCCATGAGATCGCGGCAAACCTGGATAAGAAAAACTTTCGTGTGTTGGGGGGATGGCTGGTCAGTTGAGCCGATTGGCCGCCCCTAGACATGAACTATGCCCATCACTGAGATCTTTACACTAACAAGGCTAGACAGACAAGATGTTGAATGGGCGGCCAGCTGAAGGTCTGACAAATGCTTTACATCACCCGGCCGCTATAAACCCTCACTCTGCAAAAACCCAGGACAACACTAGAACATCCTGCAACAATTCCCATGCATGACAGAGACCCTCAATCCATGCGAAGCAGGAGGAGAACTCTCTCTCCTTTTCTCTCTGTCTCTCTCTTTCTCTTTCGTTTGGTATGGTGGGGGCAGAGAGGGCGTCAGCAATGCTTAAGTCTTTTGGTTAGCTCCTTTGTGATGCTTTGCTTTAAGGTCATGTGCAGCTGGTGCGGGCGGAGCTGAGCCTGGGTTACCGGTGTCGACGGGAAGTTTTTTACCCAGGCTCAGGTCCTTGTGTGGGAAGAGCTTGCCTCGAAGTTTTCAAAAACCCTCGACACCAGAAAGCCGATCTTCAACACTGCAAAGAACACTTGGAATGTGAATCAGGCCACCGGTGTGGTCACCAATGGAACACCGAATCTCCGCCGCCAGGTCGCCGCTGCATCCTTGCAGGGGGCTTTGCTTTATTGTATCATGGCTATATATCTATGCACGTAAGACTCTCTTTCTATTTGACGGAGTTCTGTTGGCTGCTCTTTGAAAAATTGTGTTCCAAAATTTCGAAAACCAATTTCAAGTACCTTGAAGGGACTGGACGGCGGGTGTCCCGAAAGTGTTAAAACAAAAAACGTGCTGAAACAGGAGGCGACAACGAAGAGTTCTACAAAAATGTTTGCTACAAGCAACAATATATGGCACCCCCGCCGATGACCTTCTGACCTTGACTCAGCCCGCCCAGCTGCACCAAGAGCAACATGTGGCTTGTCGGTTTTCTGTTGTGCGGCAAAGAAGAACCAACAATCAAACCCCAAAACAAAAAACTCAAATTTCAGAGTTTTCTAGCTGAGCCAGGAGTTCTGGATTGATTGTTGGTTGCTTGAGTTTTCTCGCTTCAAGTTCTTTAGCGAGATGCAAGCCACACCCCAGAAGACAGGCGGTTCGTGCCGTTCTCGTAATACCATGCAACTTGTCATAAAAAATGTGCAGGCCACAAAGCGGGGAAAATTTGCAGATTCATGGAAGCGAGTCCTTAAGCCTTTAGTTTTCGCGGATTCCCAACGGCTCGAAAGCATTCAAGAAGGGGTGTAATGTTCGAGCCTCCGTGGCGTCTCTGGTGCGAGGCCGAGCTTCAGATACCGACGTAATACATCGGAGCCAACGCCTTTTGCAGTTTGGCTGCACTGACGTCCCGAGTCGTTGCAAATACCATGAGAACCGCTGCGACCTCTGCATCTTTTGCTCCGACCCCCCCCAGCTGTGTTGCTGAGCAAGGCATTTGTTCTGTAGTCGGTTTTTGTGCCTCTGCTCATTTTTCCTTGAAGCCGGCATGCCAAAAATGCCGGACTCAAAACCAGGAATTCAAAACGTGTCGCGTTCTCCGTCAATCCCTCCCTTCCGGCCTATTACTTGCGTACTCAAGTGAGGATGTGCTCCGATATACCAGGGCTGTAACAGGATCACCTATCAGGAATACTACGGAACCCTTCTCCACAGTGGTAGCAGTAGCGGTCATAACGCCGATGAGACTAGCGCTACGACCCTACCAGAATCTACCCGGGTCTTCGCGGTTCGGGTTCACTGTTGTCCTCGAGCAGGAAGCAGCTCACGGCAAGGCTCCGCGCTGTAGAAAAAAACCTGCGGGTCGCAGGATTTTTCCCAGGTCTGCTTGTGTTTGCTGAATGAGTCTCTGCCATATACCAGCATGGGTGGCGTAGTTCATTCAAAGTTCCGCGTCATGGTGCCTACGTTCTGTTTGGAATGAAGGCCTGCAGAATTCTTCAAGGAAGCTTACCTCTTCGGATTCTGAGCCCTCAGATTGACGGCGTCCCACCTGTGGCTCACACCATCTGCCCGCACAATTGCGAGAGTCCCAGGGCCAACGTCAACCTCGCAGGGGTCACAACAAGGCCCAAGCAGAAGTTGCTCTCCAACACGTGTGTATGGTTGAGGGTCCCTTTCGGGCCTAAATGGCCTAGATCCGCCCCAAGGCAGGAGAAGACTGGAAAAGACAAGAACACCTCGACTCACCCCTGCAAAGGGTTTATTTACGGGGCCCGGCTTACGGGGCTGTTTGGTTTTCACTCCTTCCGTTGCTTGAAGCCTTACGGCAGCCTTGTAGGAACCATGCTTGCGTGCAAAACCGATTGAGGACTCAAAGGATGTCCAAGGCCTCGTAGGGCTCCACGCCCTCGGCATCCAAGGGCTGAAACTCTAGGCGGCCATAACCTGGCCCCAGGAAGAGGATCAGCATCAGCCGGCTGTGGCCCAGGACCTGGGGAGGTTTCAGGCTCAGGACGATGCAGCGCTTTTCAGGACTGTACTTTCGGGGTGACAGGATCCTGGGGTTTGCAATCGTTGGTGTGTTGTTTGACGGGGCACTCCCTCGCTCTTTTGTATGTGAAGGTGTTATGAGTTTTGGGTTTTGGGGCGGGGTAATGACTAGAACGTGAATGCATCCTTGGATGTGTCTGCTTGTGTCGATTTCGTGTGCAGCTTCTACCCGTTTCTACCCTCTCGTCGCCGCTCTATGTTCCCTCTGTGCGCATTTCCCTAGGCCTATGTTGTATTCGCAGAGTCCTACTGAAACGAGTCGTGAACTGAAGTTCATCGACCGTTTCACGTGGCTCTTGCTTTCTCCCAGACCTGCCAGCCTACTTCCAAGATGCATGTCGTATGCTGACACACGCGGACGTCTCCTCAAATTTGAAGAAGGAATACCGTGCACAATGTGCTTAAAGCCACCCATGGTAGTGCAAGTCACGCCCTGAAGCTTCTGGGCAGACTACCCCAAGTTAACACCACAGGCGATCAACACGAACAACGCCAAGCGACCACAAAACCACAAGCATCCCTAGTTGTTTGATTTATGGTTCAGGTTCTGTACAAGCACAGCAAGGGATTATAAGGTGCAGTGTTTGCAGTTTCCTGAGGTACCTAAATTGAAATTCCCCCAGCAATCCCAAACCTGGCCTCGAGCCACTTTTGGCAACCAACTGGGGTGAGCTCCGGAACATCGCAGTCGAGGGGGATCCCCGCCTCTTTCGAGCTCCGATCTCTTGAAAACAAAGGTCGCACTTGCCTTTAACTCCTCGCTCCTGATATCACTTAGAGGGCGCGTTGGGTCCTATGAGGGTTTGTTGTTTGGGGTATCGGGGGTTTGGGGATTCGGGTTTCCCACACGTGGGGCTCTCCAGTGCAGAGAATGGAAGGGTCTTGGGGCCTGTTGACACATCATACCTTCGAGGATCCTGTAGGGCGAAGATAAAAACAGCGTGATGCACGTGTTCGACAGGATCTTGAGAGCGACTGTTGAGAAGCCTCTCAGAAGTGAGAGCCTGGCAGCAAACCAGCTCCTTTGGAAGCTCTATGCTGTGCTGCACAGTTCCAACAGCTGTAGCAACAACAAACCTTCAACGCTAAATTTGGGGCCCTCCGCTCTCAAGCGCGGTTGATTGCGACGCTTGCTGTTGTTTTGATTTCCTCCTTCGTTTCGGGCGTTTTTTTTGCTTGGGACCTCTCGGGGAACTCTCGGCGCCTTGTGGAGGATCAAGGAAGAACGGCTGCTGACGTGGCTCTGCAGCATGGAGTCTACTCTTGCCAACTCATTTCCTTGGCAGCTCTCAGCACCAACACGCTGTGCTCCAACAGCAAGACTGACCCTTCTCTCCTTTGTCCAACTCATAAACTCCATAAATGTGACAAGATGTACCATGCAAACATTTGCGGTGTGAGTTTGCGCGCTAAGTGTCCGGTTTTCGTACCTACTCTTCCTGTACTTCAAAAAGAGATCGAGCGGATGGCCGTGAGAGGGGGTTTCCAAGCTTTTCAACACTGTTCAGGCTTGGCTTCCCATCTTCTCCAGGAGCTCGTCGGCAGCTTGCAGGCCCATCTTCTCGGCCTTCTCATAGTTGAAGCCGTCGAGATTCATGATCCTTGGACTTCTTGGGGCGATTTTTGGACTTCTTGGACTTTTCAGCCTTGAACGAAAGGGCCTTCGCGCTTCGCCTTGGTGGGAGCCGGCAAGTCAAGGTCTCGGGAGCTTGGGCGAACTCCCCCTCCCCTCTTGTCTTCCAAACCCCGAAGCACCAAAAGCCAACCGACTCCAGAAACGACTAACTCCAAAGCGCCCCAACCCCAAAAGCCCCTCAACGGTTCCCCCACAAAAGTCCCAAAACACGCTCTGTCTTTTCGCACAGGGGATCTCCGCAGAGCCCTCCTCGCCCAGAAGGCCGTCCACGATGAGTGAAGGCGGCGGTTTGAAGTCGGCTCCCTCATTCTCCTCAACGCTCCAACAAAAGCTCCGTATTCTGGCTTAAGTTCCAAGGGTTTACAAAAGGTGAAGCTCAAAAGAGAACCCCCCATCGGCCAAAGTCTTCACTGCCCCAGAGGCTAGCTGCAAAAGCTACACGCCATGATAAGAAATGTCGGACCCTGAGCCAGACGTACTCTCGAGTATTTCTTTCGACAGACCAAAGAATCCTGCACCAGCCGCAAGGCATCGAGGCGGGCTGCGTCGACGGTTTCCTGTGCCATGCTGCGAGTCTTCTTTGGGTTTCTTTGAAGCAGATGACACTGGCCTTTTCGCCCTGGAATCTTTTCAACGACGTACTTCCTGCTCGGAGGTTGCGCACTCCGTGAACACTTTGTGGGACAGTTGAGCTGCTGTCTCCCACTCGGATTTCGTGGGTCCTCGGACTCGAGTAGCGCGTTGCCTTCCCCACTCAAGTGGGGACGCCACTTATCCCCCGATAGGTTGCTTACCCGTCTTCCGTTCTGTGACTGCAAGCAGAACCCATGGGCGGCATGCACTGAAAATGATCGGATGGGTCTACAGTAAGCAACTTGGGAATGTGATCGTTTGGCCTCCTAGCCTCCAGCTTCCCAGCCTCTGAACAGCACTGCAGGAATCTGGAGTTTCTGGAGCTGTGGCATCGAGTGTTGAAGCTGCAGCTCCCTGAAGCACCCTTCTGAGACTTTGCAGGTGCGAGAACTCACTGAACCTCTAGGCCCCGGCAGTTCTAAGTGGCCCCCCTCCCCCCCCCTCTACTTGTCCCCAACACATACTCAAAGTCTCTCCTGGTGTGGCCCACCCAGGCCCAGGAGGCAAAAGCCCTTGCCCAGCAGGGACATGAGGACTCTCTTCATCACCTGTTTGGATTCAAATTGAGACGTTTAAGACTGCTAGGGGTTTTTGCCGAGCTGCAAGGATAAGATGTTCATGTCTAGGGTTTAGCTTGAGGCTTTTCGGGGGCTCAACAGGATCATACTATATTGGCCTTGCGCGTTTTCCGGCTTTCCAAAAACCCAAGGAGGCATCGGGGCTTGGACTTCTAGCCTGGGGCCTTGTTTCGGACGTGGCATCGTAAGTATTCCTGTGGCTTAAAGCTGCGACTCGCGACAGGTCGTGGGGAAATCCCACCTCCTGGCTCAGAGTGATGCCACCTGAGACGTCTTGCACCAGCGGAGCCGTGCGCCCTGATGCCTCCTCCTCTTCCTTGGGTGACAAGGTTTGCGGCGGATGCCGAGTTTTGGGGTGGAGGACTTGGGGAGCCCTCAAGAAGATGACATCGCATGGTGCTCGCTTACGCTTCGTGCATCCACGCTTCCTCCTCAGAGCCCTCGGGCACCTCGGAGGTTGAGCCGCCCAAGATCACGTCATGCCTGACGTTGTGGCGGCTGGCTTGAGGCTTTCGGGGGCTGAGTTTTTGGGTGCGGGATGTGCAGGCTTTCCAAGGGGCCACGGACGGTTCAGAGGGCTTCTGGGGGTTGTCATCGGGCATGTTTATCGGGGTTTGCGCACTGCCTTTTACATGTTAAGGCTTCTGCATTTCTCTCTGAGCCTTGCTACGCATGCTACGCCACACCCGCTCTTGGCGGGAAAAACCCACAACAACCCCAAACAAAAACATCAAACTGCAAGCGCTTTCACTGCTTTCGCTTGCCTGACGTCACGTCTCCTTCGAATCGGAACCGGCGCCCGGCTTGGGCCCAGGGGGCCCAGCGGCCGGCGCAAAGTGTCCGCCATAGCGGGAGGCGCAGCCAATGCGCTGTTAGGTATCTCTCTTTACTGATAACGGGCCCTTTCAGTTGAAGCCTTCGTCTTGTCTGACACTCGTTTGAGAGAATCTGCAGACACCGGCTAGATCACAAGATGCTACGTGTTTAGGCCGCGCAGGCTACAGTACTGGCTCAGGGCGTTTCAGCTTAGACCTTTTGCAAGCCTTGCAAGCTTGATGCTTAAGGCTTCCGGGGCTCCCAGGCACTTGAAACTCGGAATAGGCGACCTTTTGAGCACGTGGCTTCTATGGCACAAGTTTTACGGTAGACGAGAATGCAGCAGCAAGTTGTGAGCCGCAATGTTCAATGCTCTGGGTTCACGAGTGATGCCTAAACGACACTCCAGCAGCTCAAAGCCCCCAGCGGAACACACATGAAACGGCATCATGCTTCAAACTTTAAACTGCAAGTAGATATTGCTTCTCCAATATCTACGTTCGTGCCTCAGCAGACGCTTTGACAAAAAGCCTCTCGCAAAACCGAAACCCACCCTGTAGGGCTCAGATTTCAAGGAATTCAAAGGCAGATACCTGAGACGAATCTCAAACAGAAAACCTGGATCTTGCCCTGAAGCATGAGATTGAACAGGCCTCGAACGACTCAGCCCCAAGGCCTGGAAGGGTTCAGGGGTGTAGGACAGAGTGCAGTACCAGATAAGTAAGGGTTTGAAGGCATACCCTATGCCCTACGCGTTGGAGGCATAGAACCCTATGTTTGACGGCGCTTCGAGGACGAGACTACGGATGACTGGAAGAGGTTGGGACAAGGCTTTCCAGCCGGGGGTATAGAATCTAGCGTCATGCTCTGAGCTTTGATATGTGCTCAGTGGCCAAAACCGAGAACTCAAGCCCCACACCCGATAAAACCGGCAAACGCTCAACGTCCTTACCAAACTCAGTCTGTACGTCGCCTCCGGTGCCCAAAACAAAGCCCCAATCTTGATATTCTACAACTCGAGCACGCTACCAAACATGGGGGTAAAACATGGGCACCGACGCAAAATTCCTGCTCCTTGGAATCCCCAAACCAAGACCCGCACGGTAAACCTCTAACATGCACATTCCTTAACTATAAAGAAGGTTGCCGAGTTCCTGGCCAGGTTCTTGGACAAGTTCCTGGCCGGGTTCCTGGAAAGGTTCCCGGCCAGGTTCCCGGCCAGGTTCCTGGCCAGGTTCCTGGCCAGGTTCCTGGCCAGGTTCCTGAGCAGGTTCCAGGACAGGTTCCTGGACGGGTTCCTGGACAGCCTCCTGCGGGTCCGCCCTGACCGCCTTGCGAGGTTCAAGACTTCAGAGTTTGTTGTATGTCGGCGCTTCAATGCTCGTGACCACTGGGAAAAGCAACCGTTTGTTTGCTTGCTAAAGGGATGTTGCACATACCAGTTTTGAGGTTTAGGAAAGGGCTAAAGCCACAGGGTATTTCAAGGTCTTGGCCGTTCAGGGCTATGGCTTGTGTGCTTTAGGGCTTCCAGTTTTGCAGGATGCAGCGCCTCGCATTCTAGCATTCAAGCAAACTAGATGTTGCAAGATTAACATCTGTCCCAAGACACAAGCGGCAAATCCTAGTACGGTGATGCCGCAGACCGGGTGCTTCGCAGTTCCCAGACAACCCTTCAAGCTGCAGTCGATCATCCCCCAACTCTCAAGAACCCGGCAGAGAAGCGTGGACTTTTTAGAGGTAAAGCTCAAAGGCCCGCCGTGCAAGTATCATGCTCATCGCACCACTGTTGCCAATCCAAGCGCGAGGACTCCTCATCGTCACGTACGTTTTGCAAAACGCGATGGCGATCACTCGGTAGCAGTACAGCCATAAAGTCGAAGCCACGCCGAGTATGATCGGCTTGCCCAAGTCCTGTCGAAACGGGAATTTTGAATTTGCGGGGCCCTCCAAAGGTCCATTTTTCACCCCTCTGTGCTCTTCCAGTGGAGAGCATCTCAGGTCTTCAATTTGGCTCCTGACCGAGACATAGAACGATGAGTCCGATCAGTACAAATTCACACCCCACCGCTGAAGAGCGTCAGTGTCACATGGGGCTTTCTTCGTCCGCACTTTTCAGACAAAATGCCCCAGGGCCTTCGCGCCGGAGAAAAGAACAACCCAAGGACTTTGTTTACCATGCCCCTGTGGATCAGGTTGCCAGAAGAACGATACTGGTTAGCAAACCATGTGATGCAAGCGATGATCTCGAAAACCCAACATTTTTGACAATTCGAAGGACAGCCTAACCTCGGAACCGCCTCGGCCCACCGAGGTCCATCTATCAGGGGTCCTGTTGCAGCAAAGGAGGTGTTGAAGGCGGTAAATAAATTTGGTTTTGGCGCGGACCTCTCAAGGCTTCGGACTCATCCGGAATCTGAACAGGACTGCTCTTCTGCGTATGGATGACTTGCAGTTTGCGTCTGCCGAATGGACATGAAGCATAGGCCTTTGGATGTCAAAGGCTTGTCCCTCTCCCAAACCCCAGCCCTTTCTCCTGCAATCATGGCTGCCGGAGACGTCCTGCTGCCAAAGAGCTGGAGCTCCTGCAGGTTTTGGCATTCTAGGTTCTTCTTTTGTCACATGTGGGCTGCTATGCTCTATGCCCTGCTGAATTCGGTGCCACATCTCTGCACTGTGTGCGCAGTTCGTCACCCAGGAAAGCTTAGCATCCAGACTTGCCTGGTGACACATGTCATGCGCGTCTGTGACCAAATGTAGACTTAAACCCTCAGGTCTTTGAACTGTGGCAACCTCTCAGGCACCTCACACAAACCTAAAGCCTTCAAAACCAGAGCAAGCCCTCAAACCCTGGGCTGATGTTCAGAGCTTTGGGTTGCACTCTCGGGGTTACTGGACTTCACAAGTTCAGCTCGCGTCACTGTGTGCTGCCTTAGATCCCCCTGCGCTTCTGGTTTACGGGTTCCATAGAACCGGAAACTCTGAACCAGCATGAAACAGCACCCTGAGTTGGGTTTTAAGGACAGGGGATGTGCGAAGTGGTAATTTGTCGTAGGGCGCTGAGTGAGTGTGCTGCATGTTGACCACGCCGAAAAACTGATTTTGACCTGTACGACCCTGAACCCCTAAACCGCCTCGCTGCCGTCACCGCTCTTCCGTGCTGCCTCGCGGCAGAGCAGGCGCCCCTCCTGAGCCTCAGCCGGGGTCTTTACTGGGTCTTTACTTCATTGACCAATTTTGGCACTAATTTTTTGGACTGCTGATGAGTGCCGGCAAGGTTTTGTAAGAAGGCAACAAGTTTTCATAGGGTGTCCAAAAATGCGTTTCGGCGTTACCTTCTGTGCTGCGCTAGCATTCGGGGACCCAGACTGGAGCTACAACTGCAAACGCCGGGGCTGCCCGCAAGCCGACTATGCCGCGCTGCCAGGGCCGGGGAGCCACACCTTTAGGGGCATTCGTCCTCTCCCTTATGGGAGATCGCTTTCGGAAAGGTTTCCGGGGAGGGTTAACCTGCAAAAACCTTTCCTTTTGTTGTACGGTTTGGGCGGGGCTTGAGAAGGGGAGGGTCTAGCTGTTAAGGAGCCTGTGCGCGCAGTCATCCCGAATTGCGCAGGAAACGCGCCCCGAACACCCTACTCATCGAGAAGGCCATCAAAGAAATGAGGGGGCCGTCTAGGCCTAGCCTAGACAGCATGGGACTGCTGGAAGCAAGAGCTGCCCTTTAGTGACATGCACACACACACACAGGGGCTGCATAGAGGCATTCAGATAATCATCAAAAACTCGATCCTCTGTGAAACCGCAGGGCCGTCTAACTTTGCCGAGGCCATGGACCTCTGTGAAACGACACGTGCGTTTCTGACAATTGCTTTGATGGGACTTTCGCAGTTTAACAGTGCATAAGCTTTCTCTGAGGCATACAGGCGACGTGGCATTCCACAACTGGTAAGATCAGAGCAGGAACCTCAACACTGTAAGCCCCGACTTTAAGACCTCAGAGGACCCTAAACTTACACCTGAAGCAGGACAACGCTAACTCCAAGGCCCGGAACACTGTAAGCCGGAACTTGGGTTGGACGTCTGACCCTGCAACACCCAACCCCCGCAGCGCATGACTGTCACGAGGCAGGGCTCTGGCCGGCCATATCGACTAC